CCGACTGCGCTTCGGTGACGAAAATTTCGACTATCGCCTACGCGATCAGATAAGAACGCGAACACAAGGCGCGAAAGAACGAGTCAAAGATTATTTGACTTGTTTACAAGGGTTATACCATAAATTACATCGAAGAATACCGCTCGACGAACAACTAGACTACGCACACCGTGGACTTCGACCGGAATTTAAACGTGTTATAAAAAGAAACGAAGTGTTTAGTTTCGACAGGTTAGCTAGAATAGGCCAGGAATGGGAAGCAGAATGGGCGACAATAAAAGAATACAAGCCCCGACCAACACCGGAATTTTCATTTTTACCAGAATTTGCCTACAAAGAAAATAAAACGACGAGCGCTAAAGTCGCAGCTGTTAGTGAGACTCCACAAACTAATACAACTCCCCCAGCTGAAACTGAATGCGCCGCGTTACAAAACAAAAATCCCGATAGGCAAAATAAAAACAAATCAAAAGAAAATACTCCGAAGAAAAACGGGAATAAGGCGCGTAAAACAGTAGCCCCTAAACCTAAAACAAACGTTTCAGCTATACAATCCACTTCGTCACTACCAGTAGACACATGCGCACTATTGTGCCGCAACTGTCTCTGTCATGGTATTCCTGGTCCACACGGTCACCTTGCTACTGATTGCGAAAAAGAAAAACTAACATTTTGCTACAAATGTGGTAGACTCGGAGTGAAAACTCCCGAGTGCCCTACACCACAATGTCAAACAAAATCGAAACCGGGAAACGGCAAACGTGCCCAGTGAGCACGGTCCCCACTGGGCATAGTTTATCCGACCTACCTCCGTCATCGGCCTTGCCGGATGAACTCCTTTATTCGCGGTCGCCAGAATCTGGAGAGGAAAGGGTACAAGCAGAACTACCTATTATCGATTCAGACTGCTCTGCTCTAAACATTAGTAATTTAAACGAACGATTCTTCGTAAAAAGAAAAATCGGGAATACGGAACTAAATGCACTTATAGATAGCGGATCGTCCAGATCTATACTAAATGAAAACGGCGTAAAATTGTCCGAAAAATTAGGTCTAAACTTAACACAATCCAAAATCAAAGCGATAGTTTTCCCAAATGGCGCTTCCCAGTCGACAGTAGGACAAGTTAACCTACCGTGTGAGATAGGAACCGTAATTAAAGAACTTCCTTTTGTGATAGTAAAAGATTTTAATTACGAGTGCATTCTCGGTATGGACGCTATTCGAGTATTCAAGTTACTACTAGACGGTAGTAATAATACGGTCAGAATTATTCCCGATATCGAAACGTTCGCCCCACATTGGGCGCCATTTATAACCTGTCGCCACGCCGGTTCATTTATGGAAATTATGATCTCAAAATTGGGGAAAACAATTCCGGTGGCGAGAAATTATAAAGGCGATCTTTAATATTTTTATTAATTTTGAGCGCCTGGCTGCTCCTCTAATAATATAAGAAAATACAAGCTATATTTAGAAATTGATTAGAACGTTTAGAATATATAAATTGAATTTACGATTAAATAGTTTGCCGACTAGGTATGGGAACGAATAGTGGCTTTTGTTAAATAAATAAACACTAGTTTACACACATAACTCACATTTATTCTAAATATTTAAAACTTTAAAGAGACATTTATTATTCAAAAGAAACAGACTTGCTAAGAGTCGGAGAGCGAGCAATTTTCAAGAAGAAAACAAAGCAAATTTATTACTATGGCGAATTAATAGTCTAACTCACCATTATTCCACGAAACAAAATAACAATTTCTGCTTTAAAACTTATTTTCAACTTTGGAATTTCCAATAAATAATTCTTTCTCTTTCTTTATCTTAATTTTTCCTCTCCTTATAAAACAATCAACCATCCACCGTAATGTACAAAACGTGAAGGACAAGCGCCACTCGGCTGCTCGTACTTTTCGCCTATTAGACGCGGCTCTTACTCAACGGCCACCCTGTCGATAAATGTAGATTAATACATCCACAAGTAGCGATTAATGGGTTGCAGCCTTGTATGCGCGACTTAATATTAATCTTAATATTAAATTAAGGAAAACAGCTAATCTTGGACTAGTGACATTAATTATCACGTAATGAGCCTGGAGCAGTGCAATAAGATTTTAAAATAATTTTGTAAACATAAATAATTAAACAATATTCTGTTTAATGATGATAGTTCTTATAAAAGAACTTTTGGCTGCATTAATTGATATTCGTCCTCAAGACTGCTCCCTGAACTCTGCTCGCTCCTTCTGAGAGTTCTCATTAGTTTCGTTGCGCAGTTTAGGTCGCATCTAGTAGGCTTAAACAAATAAAAAAACAATGCGGCAGAAATTATTCTTAATTGATATTATTTCTCGGATGTGCTCTCGAACTCTTTGACAGGTTAATATTATTTAATTTGCCATTATGTGTATTTTCTGTATTTACATATTTTGTAATAACCCCTTTCATAACTTAACAATTTATTAATAATAAAAAAGGGGGCTTCACGTCCACATCACGGTCGAGGAATTTCGAGATGTAAAATATACAGCGTTACAATATTTAGGTGGTAAGCCCTAAACGTGAGTATCCTCTTCGTACTCGTAGATTGATTCTGAGACCTTTTAATATAGGTGTTTTATCACGAATTGACAGAGACGAAGATGAGGCCAAACGCGATGTTGCCATCACAAGACGAGAAGAGCGAAACTTGCCTCCTCTTCTTCTAGATAAGCGTACAAGAATATGTATGAATTGACACCGTTTGAATCAGGAGGAATTAATCTTAATCGAAAATGACCCCTCTTGTTTGAGATTAAATATAATAACGCAAACTGGAAATCGCACTTGCGTCATTTGTAATGCCGTAAACAATGTCTATAACTTGTCACTTGAGTGCAGAATTAATATTTTTGTTGAAAGAAATATCTACTTTCCTCCAGACGTAAGAGCATGCCTCCATCACTTGGATGACAGAGGCTTTTTTTCGAACTTTTAATAAACGGTTTTAGATCTATTCTGAGACCATACATTTTACCTGGTCAACAAATCCAGATGTTTTTTGAGGCACTACGTAACTGTATATTACAAAATAACAAATATGAACACGAAGATAATTTTTCAGATAACGAATTTTGCCACCTAGCTCCACTCACAAAAGATCAGTTTAAAGAATTGTTAACATTCATTCAACCTGTTCCACATCAAGGAGGATTCCGGTATGTTGGTAGAAAAGACCTGTTAATGTTTTTGTGTAAAATGAGACAAGGCCTACCTGATGATTTTTTGAGAATAATGTTTAACTACACAAGCAGACAAGCTGTCAGTATGGCAGTGGCAACTGTATGTCAGTCTCTGATGATTCAATTTGTTCCAGAAAATATTGGGTTTACCGCAATCACAAAAGAAGAGTACATAGAACGCCATGTTCCAGAATTCCACAATGAACTGTACAATCCGCAACCTGAGATTCCCAGAGTCATTTCCTATGTAGACGGAACATACTGTAATATAGATAAAAGCACAAACTTTTGTACTCTGCGACAGTCTTATTGTTTACATAAATGAAAACATTTATTAAAACCTGCTCTCCTGGTTGCTCCTGATGGATACATATTGAATATACAGGGTCCATACTTCTCAGATTCTCAAAATAACGATGCTGCAATGCTTCGAAATGAATTCGATCGAGATGCGAGAGCAATGAGAGAATGGACAGATTGTGGACAGAGGTTATCGCGATGCGACATTATGGTTGCAGGAATTGGGAATCTCGTGGCACATGCCCGCGTTACTTGAGCGTGGTAGGAGGCAATTTTCTACAGAAGAGGCTAATGAAGCACGCCTAATCACAAAAACTAGGTGGATAAATGAGGCTAGAAATGGTCACATTACCACTATGTTCCCGTTTCCAAAAAAACTACCTCACTGCAGCATGCCCTCCACTTGGGTGACTTTTATCGAATTGCAGGAGCCATCATTAACCGATTCCACCCATTGATACATATGAACGGAGCGAACGCCGAAAAAGCAAGGGAAATGCTTGCACGAGCACAAGAAGTAAACGTTCTTCAAGAATTCGTTGAACTAGAGAGACTGCATTTACGAGGTGGGCAAAGATGGATCCTTTTAAATTCCGATGCAGTTTTAGATTTTCCTCAATTAACGCTGGATTTTCTAAGAGATCTTACTGTTGGTGTATACCAAGTACATTTAGCACCATCATGTGTACAAGACAAGTTACAGCGAGAGCAACAAGAGGAATTCCAGTTAGAAGTAGTAAATGATTTAAATCGGAATGCAATACCACAGAGAGGTCTTATCAGAGTTCGACTATACTCTAGATTCCAAAATAGAACGAAATACCAGCTGTGGATTGCTTATGTCTCAAGTGACGAAAACGAACCCAACGATGATGCAGAACCTATTCAAGGATACTATTGTACTTGTAAATCAGGCGCTCGTACACTTGGAACTTGTGCTCATATTGCAAGTGTGTTGTGGTTTCTCGGCTATGCACGACACGAAAATAACGTGCACTATCCTTTAACTAGCCTAAACCAAGCAATTCTAGATGCTGCACAAAGGCCACAACAACACAACGTTGAATAAAGAAATAAAATGTACCGCCCATAACCTATATTATAATCCTGGTTTAAATGGTTACAACCCATTCAGCGTTATGTACATTCTTCAAATATAGTAATCATTATTTTCCACAGTGACAATACTTTACTTCTTGATTTGTGTTTTTTATTATTTTTTGTGTTCAATTACATTTAGTTTTCTAGGAATAATATTACTTTAGCTGCTGCAAGCAAATGCAAAATGTGATAATAAACAAGTTTTAATTGTTACAGTACAGATGTTAGATTTTTATATACTAAGAAAAGTTACAATTATGAGATTCTATACTTTAATGTATAATATGGAGTAATTATATTAACCTTAAAATCGGTAGGTTATATTTTTTTAGGTTATTGACACAACAATCCATAATAGTACCTGAAAAAATGTTAGGTTATTCGACACAATTGTCAAAATGGTCTCGTTATAATAATATTGATCTCCTACGTAAGCATTATTTTATTTTTTGAATTGTGTGTTTTATTATATCTTTATGTTTCTTTACGTTTTGCATTTATTTAATTGACATTATTATAGTTTTGCGTTTATTTTTTGGATGCTGCAAATCAATGTAGCATTAGAAATAAAATTAGAATTATGAGATTCTATACTGTAATGTTTAATATGGAATAATTGTATTAACCTAAAAGTAGTTAAGTTATATTTTTTTAGGTTATTGACAACTTTAACAATCCATAATAGTACCTGAAAAACTGTTAGGTTATTTGACACAATTGTCAAAATGGTCTCGTTATAATAATATTGATCTCCTACGTAAGCATTATTTTATTTCTTGATTTGTGTGTTTTATTATATCTTTATGTTTCTTTAGGTTTTGCATTTATTTAATTGACATTATTATAGTTTTACGTTTATTAGTTGGATGCTGCAAATCAATGTAGCATTAGAAATAAAGTTACAATTATGAGATTCTATACTTTAATGTTTAATTAATTTTTGAAGTATTAATTTCATTCAAAATATTAAATAAAACTTGCTTTGAAATTAAAATTTTTGTTAATATAAATAAATAATATTATTTTATTTTAAAATTTTGTATATATTGTTTCAGATTCAGTAAAACCACTAACAACAAAATCACCAACATCATTATCAACGACTATTAAAATTGAAGATAATAATAAAGGAGTTGGAATAGAATTTTCAGAAATACAACAACAACCAGGAAAAGAATTATCAAAACAATTAAAAGATTCAAGCACAGAAACTATAAATGGAGAAGAGATAAAAAGAGAAGAGATGGACATGAAAAAAGGAATTGAAAAAATAAATAGTGACGAAAATAAAGAAATGAAACTTGAAATCAACAGGCAATGTAAAATAATGGAAAAAATAAAAGAAAAAATAACCAGTTTGTATGAGAATGTTTCAAAAATGAATGCCATGATAAATTCAAAAGTAGTAGAAGGTGAAAATAATTTTTTTATAATAATATAAAATATTTAACTGAAATGTAATTAAGAAAATCATGTATTAATAATATAAATAAAAAAATAATTACATAATATTGATATTATAAATTTTTGTTACAGAGGAAAAAACATTTAATGATACTATTAACGTACAGAATTCATGTGCAAAATTGTATGAAGAAATCCAATTTTTATTCTCTCACAAATCATTAAAAAGCAACATCGATGAAAAGGAAAAATCTTCAAAAAATTGTAAGTATATTAACTATAATAATCTTCGTATTCTTTCATTCAGTCTGTCCAGAGCGTGTACATTCTGTCCGCAGTGAGAGAGAAAGGTTGATAGAGAGAAAGAGAGAGAGGGAGGTATTGTCTCTCCTTTTAGTTTAGAGTAGGAGCGAAAGAGAGACGAATAGTTAAGAAAGTAATTCCCACTTTTTGGGTTTAGAAGGGGTACCATGTTTTCTCCATTTTCCGTGTCAGGTAGAAAGAGAGGAACAGAATTTGATAGGGGAAGGAAAAGTGGGGAATTTTACTTTCAAGCCAAAATACGAAATGGGCGTCTTATTTCCTTATTGGCTAATTATTTTTCTTTTTTCACTCACAGATAGATTAAGGAGTAAAAGAAAGGCAGATCGAGAACGAGGTATGAGTGAGAGGTATAAATTTTATCGTTGTTCCATAAACCAAATGGACAATTTTTCATCAATTTTTGACTCCCACCCCGCCTCCAGTTGTGAACAATCGCAAATATTTTAAAAAACTAATTCGTATAATTATTTAAGATTCAATTATCTTCGAACAATGGGTAAGGCTTTCTGAAGTGTACCGATGGTTTTTTAAGCCTGTTACGCGCTGTAAAAAAGACATGGAGCGTGCAGTTTCACGGGCGGTTGCACTGCCGCGTTACATGCGTTGAATTGGTTTCAATTTGTTAGTTAATGCTTTATTTATTAAGCATTTGACACATAATTTCGAAAATTTTAATTAAAATTAAATTCAAAATGGCGGATTTTTTATAGTGTCAAGAATACTCTCCTAAAATAATATTGCAAAATTCGAAGTAAAACAAAAATTATACATCCTTATTCTTCGCCATGTCAAAGATGTTTTTGTATGCGGATAAGCAATCGTATGATTTAAATGTTTTCTCATTTGCATTTTTTAAAAAAGACAAACAAAAATGTATTTAGTGTTGCTGATCAAAAATTAGATATAAAATTTTCAAAATTGAAAATGGGGGATCCAACATGGCGGAAAAAAAAATTTTTTTATTGTAATTTTTTTTTTCGTTTAATTTTTTTTTTCGTCCACCATATTGTATCCGCCATTTTTAATTTTTAAAAAATTATGTCATATTCGTAATGAGCGACTCCAAAACCCCCCGTAACGATTTTAGTTATTTATTTATTTATTTAGTAAATGTATACGGGCTTACAAAAAAATGCCCTTTAGTACAAATAGTACTTAGAATTAAATATAAGTATATAAAAAAAGAGAATGTCTAATGAGACAATAAAAATAACAAAAAGTGTAAGTTTTGAGCTAGGTAACTAATTGTTTACAATTCCTTAACCAACAAACGCAAAGCAGAAATGAAAGAAAATAATGATAAGTTAAAGAAATCTAAGTCAGTACAAAAAGTATTAGCTTCACTGCAAATTCTATGGTAAATTGAATTTTCACCATAGTTTGTTCTATGAAAATTGAGTTTAAACAAATTAGTATTTCTAGATAATCTTGAAGGTGCTGAAAAATTTATGTTCGCAAGAATCTCAGGACAGTCCACATAACCATTAAGTACTCGATACAAAAAAATTAAATCCGAATACAGAAAAGTAGATGAGATTTTTGGTATATTAAACAATTGCCTCAGGTCAGAATAGTCATGATTTGTTATGTCTCTAGTTATTTTTAATTGTTTCGCGAGGAAGCGAAGAAATTTGTTTTGTACACGTTCAAGACGAAGCAGATCATCCTCCTGATAAGGCCACCATAAGATTGAATTACATATTAAGTTAGAACGTACAAGAGAATAATACAAAGTTTTAAACGTTGACAGTCTAAAGAAAGGATTCGCATTTCTAGTGACAAAGCCAATAGATCTAAGTTTTGTGCTAACTACTTTAGAAATATGATCATTCATTGAGAAATCGCTTGTAAACGTAATGCCAAGTTTATCAATCGATTCTACCCTCGTGAGTTCAACATTATTAATTTTGTAAACAAATGATGTTGGATTCTTTTTTTTCGTAAAAGTAATAGTTGAACATTTTTTGATATTAAGAGGAAGACCATTGTTAATTGACCATTTATAAAATTTATCCAAATCTGCTTGAATATTGTCAAAATCTTTAATATCAGTTATAAATTTATAAAGTTTAAGATCATCAGCAAATAGGCTGAACAAGCAGTTCTCAAAAACAGAAGAGACATCAATTATAAACAAAACAAACAATAGTGGGCCTAAATTGGAGCCCTGTGGAACACCTGATGTGGGAATAATTATTTATGAGTATTCATGAAGAATACGAACGCACGAAGGTCTATCAGCTAGATAACTAGTTATCCATTTTAATATAATATTTGAAAACCCCAAAGTCCTTAGCTTTGCCACCAGAATATCATGATCAATCTTATCAAATGCTTTAGAGAAATCCGTGTATATTACATCAACTTGAGAACGATTTTCCAATGCATTTATCACATAATTAGTAAAAATACACAAATTAGTAATAACGGATCTTCCCCTCATAAAGCCATGCTGTTCAGGAATGATGAAATTAATAGAATATTTGTAAATGACATCACATACAAGACTCTCGAAGATTTTTGAAATCGCATTCAAAAGTGTTATAGGTCTATAATTGTGAATGTCATTCCTGCAATCACTCTTATAAATGGGTATAATAATACCTTTCTTCCACTCATGAGGAAAAACCCCACTGGATAAAGATTTATTAAATAATAAAAATAATGGATGCAGAAATGACATTTTACAAATCTTTAAAAAAGAAGACGGGATGTCATCCTGACCTGGGCCCTTAGAAGTGTCTAATGCACTTAATTTAGCGAAAATATCCTCCTTTCCAATAACTATATTATCAAGATAAAAAGTATCACAATGATTAGAATTTATTGCGTAAGCATTAGAACCATGTTCAGAGTAAACAGAAGCAAAATAATTTGCAAAAAGATCAGCAACATCTTTGCTATTATCCGCCGTGTGATTATCAAGAAACATTTCCTTAGGAATGCTAGACTCTTTTCTCAGACAATTAACATAATTCCAAAATTGTTTAGGTTTCTTATTAAATGAGTTTTCTAAGAAAGTAAGATATTTGTTATAATTCGACTTACTTAATTTCTTACAAAGCGAGCGTAAATATGAAAAATGTAAATAGTCTGCAGAACTACCAGTACGCTTATAATTAATATGCGCAATTTTCTTAAAATAAATGAGACGCTTAAGTTCAGCACAAAACCAAGGTGGATAACTAGATCGACGAATAATTCTAACAGGAACAAAAAAGTCAAATGCTGTATAAACATGGACATAAAAAATATTCACGGCTACATCCACATCAAATTGATCAAGTACAGTATCCCAACTAACATTATCCAAATAAGTACATATTGCAGGTATATTTGCATTTTTAAAGTCATATTTAAAATGACTTGTTGATTAATTTCTTAAAGATGATAACAAAACATTAGTATGAATTTTTAATAATAATGAAGGATGATAATTACGGCATATTAAAATCTCCAAGAATATAAATCACAGCAGAAGGAAATTGATCCTGAATGTTTTCAAGAGCTCTGCTCATGGCAATATAATCATCCACTATCAAGTAAGGTGTAAGATAAAAAGTACCAATTATATATAAAATAGATTTAAATGAAAACTTGATAAATAAATGTTCAATTGAAGGGTATTTATTAGGAAGAAGTGTTGCATGTAAATGTGTGCGTGTTGCAATAAGAACTCCACCTCCACGTAGACTGTAACTTGATAAACTGCATCTGTCGCATCGAAAAACATTATAATCGTATAAACCAAGTTCAGAAGAATTAAATTTATCATTAAGCCATGTTTCTGTAAAAACCAAAATGTCATATGATGGCAATACAGCAGAATGGCGAAGCGTATGTAATTTCGTTCGAAGGCCTCTGACGTTTTGATAGTAAACAGAAATGTCAAAAAAAGAATAATCAATAACAGCTGTAGAGGGAACTGTACTCTCTGCACCAACACATGTAAGATCATTGATAGAAGATGCATCACTGTTTTTGTCCGAACACTCACACTGAGATGTGTCAGATAACACAGAAACAGTGTGTGCATTCAAGTGTGATGGAGAAACGAAAGATGTGAAATCAAAATTATTTAATTTATAGCTATTGCAATTGTCAACTTTTTGAATTAAGGTTTTTGTTTTATAATCACTGGATTGCCGTTTCTGAACACCAACTTCAGGTCCACTTCCCCACCATGAAGACGAGCAGCGAGTTCGCTCCTTTTCTCCGTTATCTCTTCTAGCTGCATCTTTGTTTTGTCTGGAGTAAGGCATATGTTTTTGAGAAAGTGAGACTGAGACACATTTACTTTGGCAGCTACAAACATTTGATGGACTGCTCGTGCCTTCTCCTCCGTCTCATAGAGAATCTTTATAGGGCGAGGTTTCTGCTGCTGCATCTGTGTATAAATACCCAGTCTATGTACTTTAATGTCCTCTAGTTGATAATCAGGCACAAATTTAACAAACAAATCTGTTATTGATGCAAGAAGACTATTATTAGTTTCTACAGAATTGTCAGCTATTGTAGAGCTCGAGTCAAACTCAGGGAAACCAAACAAAACAAGACTTTTTTCCTTCGCTCACGCCTTTCGACTTCCACCAAACACTGACGTGCAAGATCATTGTAATTCTCAACTTTATCAATTTTATTCAGCTTACCTTCCACAGTAGCGATACGATCAGTAAGATTGTCCACTTTAATTTCATTATTTGAAATGCGATTAACTAAGTCGTCAAGTTTGGTATCAACATTGTCAAATCTTGTATGGAACGACTTTTGCATATCAGCGAGTGCCTTGAGAACAGCAGAATCATCACCAGGGTTAGAAGATTTGCAACACTTAATATAAGAACCGTCACTATTTACACCAACCAGTGATGCACATTTAGTGTGATAAGGTTTGTTGCATCTAATGCAATTCTCCGGTTCGGATACATTTTTCGCGCACT